ATGTATAGTTTGCATGCTAACCACAAAATGCACTCAAATTAATTGATACAAATTACTTCAGAAAGTTGACTGATGGAGAATGGGTGGAGATTTTATAAGAATGAAACCGAGTTATAATAAGAATGAAACCGGGTTATAATAAATCTCTTTACGAACATACATGTCAAAACATTGAAGCCTATATACACACTTTCATGCTATAGGACTTCATTAAAAAATTGAACTATGCTAATGTGGACAAAAGAAATGAAACAATTAAATCCATGAATATAAACTCACATTGATTTTTCTTTCAGTTTTGCTATCTATAAATATAAACAATCAAATCCATGTATAAACACTTTCATGTTTTTTTGCGCTGTTCATTTAAGGCTTAAATGATTCAAAGGTATGTGTTGTAACATATGCATATCTGCAGTTAATTGCATTTTGATGGAAATCATGTAGGAAAAACATAATCGCTGTTGAAATTATTTTAAGAGGAATTTACTTCTGTTTTCTGATATGAAAATATACTGCTCTTCTTCTCTTTTTTTTTCTAATTAGTTCTTTTGAAGAAATATTATCATTTGATGTTGGCTGCCTTTCTAAATCTCTTAACATCTTGTGTAGAATCATAGAACATTGTAACATTGAAACTCATCACATGTGGTGAAATCATTACGACCATGCATACAGATATGCATATTGTAACAGATTTATGTGTTATGCATGAAGAGTTAAGTGTTATGCATGTATGAGTAGCAAGGAGTGAGAGCGAGCCTGAGGAAGAGATTGCCCAAGTTACGATATTAGGGGAAGAGAGAGAGAGAGAGAGAGAGAGAGAGAGAGAGAGAGAGAGAGAGAGAGAGAGAGAGAGAGAGAGAGAGAGAGAGAGAGAGAGAGAGAGAGAGAGAGAGAGAGAGAGAGAGAGAGAGAGAGAGAGAGAGGGAACCAGAGAAAGTTAGAGCTTTGAGCGGCGTTGGGAAGTGAGGAAGCGAAACAACGAAGAAATTTTTAATATAGGATGGGCTACAACCTACTTGGATGACCACCACTTTTCGATATTTTTTGGCGATTAAAACTATACTTTGTTTCGATCTGAGCCCAGCTCGAAATCGGATCAAAGTAAATTCGATCTTTTTGTTGGGCTCATAGCTCGGCTCAAATATTTCGAGCTGATTGCGATCCAAGCTAAATTTTGATTTGATTTTCAAGCGATTTACGATCTTCGAGCCAATTTCACAGCCCTACTTGGGTAGGGGTGAAGGCTAGAAAACCTAGGATAGATTTAGGGTTAGGCTATCTCAAATACCAAATAATATCTGAATTAGTTGGGAAATTAGCGAAAACGCAAAACAACTTTTTATTAGCACTGAATTACGATTACAACACGACAAAATGAAAAAGGAAATACAATAACAACCCACCCTTCGGTTAGGACCGGAAGAGAATATCCGATGGCGGTGGTAGCATCGGGAAGGCGACAAGGTGTAAGGGGGAAGGTTGAGGGTTGTTGGGTTGGTTGGAATAATGGTTGGTGACTGTTTTGGGGATCGGGAGAGTGGGGCGACATGGAAAACTGCAAGGAAGGGTGGAAAAGGGTGCTGGTTGATGGGGGCATGAGCTGGACCGCAAAGAGAACTATGTTTGGTGGCCGACAAGATACAGATGGGTGGTCGAGAGGGCTGGACAATAAGACTAGCATCAGGGGGGATAGGAGCAGACAACTGGAAGATGGTAAGGAGAGCTGGACAATAGGTTATGACTACGAGAATGTGGCAACAGAGTGGTTGAATGATGTAGGGAGGCTGACGACTAGGGGAAAGAGGAGGAGAAGAATTGGGGAAGAGTATAGAGGAAGATACAACACCTCGAAGCAAGATACAACCGAAGCACCACCCATCATCAGATACAATTCTAGTAGGGAGAGGAGAACAATCCAAGAGGAATTCTGAAGCAAAACACAAGCAAAAAATAAATCATAAATCCATAAAACAACAATTTTAAAGACTCCCATAAGGGAAAAACAGAAAAAGGAAAGGAATAGAGGGGGGAATCGGCAGGGAAAGCCGTCCGGTCCAACAATGACCTTGACCGGTGCCCTATGCTTGTTGGTTCAATTGGATGGCTATTTCGCGCGAGAATACTCTTGCCCTTGGTTAGGCATGCTGATAGATTAGGCTTACTAATGAATTTATTATTACTATTTTTATTTTGATAAAATAGGGATGGCAAAAGTTGATTGGATAGAGCAGCCAACAGAGTATGGATGGACTTATCTTCACATGCAAGGAATTTGATTTTTTTTTAATTATTTTTTAAATCTTGATTTATGTTTCGTCTCACTTATCGGGGTCTAGAAAAATGAGTGTTCTCTCTAGTAAAATTCAACATTCTTGAAACGCTCGCGCTATTCGTTTTGCGATCGAATATCATTTGGGGTAATATTATTGCTGGTTTCTTGATTTGCGCGTTGTTGGCTCGTATCCAAATGCATATCAATATATGTCTTTTCTAGGCAAATTAGATGTTTCAAATGCATCTACGTAGTCTGATTTATGATTCAAACGATCTTTGGGAGGCTTCAATGGTACTTGAAGTAATTTAGTTCGATCTGTGAAGAGTCACTTTCATCTTTGGGCATTCACAATGTCCAATTGATTCATCTTGTGGAGTATATGTGAGGGTCAACAATGGAATGTGGATTAAAAGACTATTAAGGAAACTTAAGGTTGAGACAAAAGGCACAATAAAATTTTTTAATGATAGCCAAACAACTACTAGTACAACCAAATTTTTGTGCCACGACAAAACAAAACACATCGTGATTGAACTATACTTTCATTTTAGAAAAGGTTAACCATGAAATTGTTCAACTAAGCTTTGTTCTAATACGACTTCGGATTATTGATATTTTTCACCAAAGCATTATTAAGCTTCAGTTGGGGCTATAAATGAACCAATGCTCTAGATGAACAGCTCAACTCGGCTTGATTAAGACTCAATCATGTTTTTTCATAGTAATAAATGAAAAATCTTGCCTAATTTTTAAAAGCTTAGAGCTTAAAAGAACTAAATATGAACATAGTTGAACTTGTTCATTTATGTTCACAAGCAAACTCGTTTGTTGTTCAACAACTAACTGTTTAAATACTCAATATTTGGTTTGATGATAACTCACTTCATATATGATATATTAATTTATTTAATTAGACTTTATTTAATTATAGATAGTAATATATTATTTTATCAATAATATTTTTTGATTAATTAATAATTATATATTTATTTTATTAAAATTTAGGTGTTAGATGTGAAAACTTACAAGATTTATGTTGTATGTATGAATGTCCCTTAAAATTAACTTTAAATTCCCATAAACTACACTTTCTCTCTGTCCTCTCACAGTTTTTTGTCTCCCGATTTCGCTCGAAACATACGGAACCATGAGTTGCTAGGGCGTACAAGCTCGAAGGTAATGACGAGATCGCGATATGTAAGGATGTCTGAAACTTTAATCTCTCGTATATCTCTCTTTTCCACTCTACTCATAAATTCTACCCGATTTAAATGTGGTGTTGAGAAAGTGCAGTGCAATCAGTATAAGTTATATATGATTAAGAATAAGCATGTTGCAACAACTCAATATGAAAGACAACTACAAAATTGTCTTAAAAAACTAGAAAAATGACGAGTGCATATCACTTTGGGAAAACCAACGTCTACATCTGAATGTGAGAGTCGTGTGCAAACTTGGAAGTATGAGTATGATCATGCTAAAATATGAGAGATTACATCCCATATGATAATAGTTCATGAGTTAACTTTCATTTTCATAGAGTTTATAATCGATAAATTAGTGAGCGTGACTAGATTTGTAAAATTATTATATTAGATTTTTATGTGAAAATCTTGATACCTATTTAAATTTTTAGCTCGTTTATTAGCTCATGTAAATACTCGTTCTCTTGTCACAAATAAATCAAGTTCAAATATTAAAAAAATTAAACAAGTCAAGCTTGAAAAATATATGACAGGCACAAACTCAAGATGAACATGAACAAATTATAATTATACCATGCCAAATCCGAACTATGTTATACTCGGCTCGGCTCGTCTCAGCTTGATTACAACCCTAGCTTTAGTCATGATGAATTCAAGTCCAAGCTTGTTTTGTATAATATATACAACTTAGCATGAGGGGGCATAAGAAAATGCTAATCCACATGCTTGATTAGGAATGAATTTATTTTCTTCCATCAGAATATCTTTCATTAATTGTGTTTCCTTTTATTAAATATTTCCTATTTTTTGTTTTCCTTATTTGGTGGGATTTTGATAGGATTCTCAATAGAAAAGTATGGCAAAATATATATATTATTTCTTAAAAACATACAATATAATCACAAACATATAAAATAAAGGATAAACACCTGCAATTCGAGAGGTAGACGATCTTTCCCAATTACAGTATTTTGAATGGTGGTAAATCTCTCCCAAACTCTAACTCTAATACTCAAGTCTCAATTTCATGCATACCCTAATCCTAAACTTATTAGCCTTTTTTATACTAAATAATAATAAATGACAAATGACTAAGTTTTGGTTGTCGTCATTACTTATTCCTAATTTAAAATGATTCATGTTTCCTATTCGTGGACCGGTATGCCAATCACACTATTATATATATTGGTGTAATTAATGGTGAGAAATAAATTCTTTCCCAAAATTCTACAGTTACTGTAAAAATTGGCCGAAGAAGTTTAGGGGTACGGTTTCCAGATTTGTGTAATGTTCAACTGGCCAAATGAACAATGTCAGATTTGGTAAATTTTTTTGATACCTTCCAAATTTTGAATGCCGTGCTAAGTTATATATTTAGGTTGACATTTCTAATATAGCTTTATCTTTAGTACCTTTTTAATCAGTACATTGAAATTCTTTTTTTTGCATCTTTTATGAAAGCTTCGTTTATTGATGCTGAATGGATGATACTTTGTAATTTTGTTTCATTACAGGACCTCCCAAAGCTCTGGATGAGGATGAGACAGAATTTTTAGAGAAACTGGATATGGTAAGCATGGGTATAAGCTATTTACTATTTGGTTATGCGGGCGATTCATGGCCGTCAAAGGTCGAACAGTACATCAAGGCCATTCTTGTGAAATATCTTTGCTTATATAATGAGTTTATTGTTTTTCTCAGATGGTTGTTCATTCCTTTGACAATGTTTAAATGCCACTACAGCTGATGCTTTTTCTGTTTTTGCATCTATAAAATCAGTTTATTGTTTCCCGCCTCTTTGGCTTTGAACTGGAAAATGAGGCAGCTCTTTATGTTGTTCCCTGTATAAGTTTTCTTTAATGAATCTGAATTATACATTGTATATTAGCTTATTTTAGGTGTGGTTGTGTCATGCAATTATGGATTGAACCTGCATCATTTGAAATTGTTGTCCTCCATTGTGCCAAGTAACAATGGTTATCTTTTAAAATTTTTCAGTCCAGGAAGGAGTACGAGCGGCAGATAGCAGATGATGATGCCAATCAACTTCGCTCTTTTCAAGTAAATTTTAAACTTCGCTTTATCATATGTTTAGAGTTCATCTCATTTATATTTTGTCATATAAGCTGTTTGCAGGAAGCGGTAGCTAGTCAAGCCTCCATAGTTCAGAAGCTGAAGGAGAAGCCTACCGTACCAAAAACTAACGTCAGTTTAGGACATTTTCTTAGCTGCTTGCTGTTTGATTCCTGTTGAAAGCTTAATAGCGAATTGTACTGATGTTAACTATTTTATAGGAGAGCGGACAGGCAGCGAAGAGGAGCCAGAATACGAGGCCTGGAAATTTCATCATATCAGTTAAGCCGCATGCAAAGAAAGCTAAAACAGTGACCAGTGCAAGTGGCTCGGAAGGCTCTGCTGAGGACAAGTTGCCGTTGGATAATGTTCCTGGGAGCACACTTGGGGGTTTGGTATCTTATAGCGATGAAAGTGAAGATGATTGATGAAATTGATGATACTTGCAGGTTCTCTTGTTTTCATTTTTAATTTTTAGCTATCAGTTTGTTGTTGTTTGAGCAGGTTTTGTCATCCTAGTTTCCACTATCTTGATTACTGCATAATTTTGTGCAGAATTTACTTATCTTTCTTGTATAGAGCTGGGCGGTTAAACGGATAGGTGCTGCAGGGTAAGGCATTGTTTGGTATTTGGAATATACAGTGAATAATTTTACTATAATTTTAATGTCTAAACATGCAATGAACAATAGAATACTGGACATTCATTTTGCAAGAGAAATGAAGTTTTTTTTTCGCTTCTAGCTTGTCTTTGGTTGGACCATAAATCTATCAAAGAGTTGGACATCTTAGAGCCGGTTACTTCTGTTCAGCTCAATTCTTAGTTATGCAGTGCGTGTTTGATCATCTAATTGTATGGGCAGTTAATTGGACAACCTATCTAATCACAATGATTTAGGGAGAGAAGGTAATTTCTAAAAAAAAATTGGTCTAATTTCTTCCTGAAGGAGATAATTTTTGATAGTTTTCTTCAAGGAGATTCCCATATAGCCTGGCGGACATGTGAGATTTTTAGCACTCACGGGGAGGAATTTAGCTCCTTCCATGCGCTGTCACTAAAGGTGAAAGACTGAAAGCTGCATAGACCTCCACTTTGAGCTCCCTCAATTACCTTTATGTTTTTTGAACATGCTAGCTTCCTGCCCTAATAGTAGGCTGCTAGGGTCACATTAACTTGACTAGGTTGATAAAGAGCCGTTTTCAATCTTTTTAATGAGGTTTGTATACACCCCAATATCATTTTAGATGTTCGAGATACATTTTTTTTCAAGTAATTTTGAGTCTGAAGGGATTATACTGAATGCATAAGTTTCATGGGCACATTTTGGTGGCATCTTATGGGGAAATTTTGTGAAGAACTTATACATAATGTTTAATACCTTTATATAAAATGAATTTCAACTGCCTGTAATGACCTGTTGCCTAACTTCAAGGGAAAATTCACGTTGATGACTAGAGAATGAGCATGACATGAAGTTTAGTCTGATTGCAAATTTTTTTGTTGGGCGTACTGCAATTTTTGCTAGTAAAAATATTTTTGAAGTTGAAAGTCAAGATGCCATCGATTTAGTGGGTTGATATTTGAATTATAAAAGTTTCTATTCTCCTTCTAGCATAGATTTTGACAAAATGCACATCACAAAGCAATTTATTAAGATTAAATAGTTGTTTGATTTTGCCAGGATTGGCCGATGAAGCTAAAGATGCTTAAAACAACGTGCAAAATTTATATAGGATTTAGTTAGTGCATGAAAAAAATATGTGGAGGTTAGAATCACCCAATCAAATGCTCAAAAGGTGGTCGTGGTCGATGCCACTATCAAACCAAGGCCAACTTCTAGGATTGGTAGTAGTATTAATATGTTGGCCTGGGTTGAACCTAAGGGTAGCAGTTGTTTGTTGTAATTTTGATTATGGATGTGGAATATGAGTTCATATTCAAGTAAAATTTTATAATAGTTTAATTTAAAATCTCAAATTCTTATGATTCTTGTCTGAAGGTGGTTTTGATTTCCAAGTAATCTTATGATAAGATTGAGATTTTTTTTTTAATTTCTTTGGTGAGGTTACAAAGCATAATTTAACTTGTGATTTTCTTTTGTTACCTTGGTGAGCTATTCAAGATATCATGCTTTTTTTTTCTTTGACATATAAAACCCATCCATCTCCTGTCACCTTATTGCTCTCTACCTTAATTGGCTTCTATTCATTTTTTGCCTCCACCAATGGTAACTTCACATGATCATTATCTTATTCAAAAATCTCCATAAAAATATATATATTTTTAAATTGCTTTGGATACAATAATTTAAACTCCATATGAGCATATAGCTATAGAGAGGTAGGCGAATTGATTACAAAATAAGAGTTCAAATTTAATGAATATTTATAAGTTCTTAATTTGAAGTATTAAAATTTAAAATTTAATCGTTTAATTAATTTGTTATTGGCTGTTGGTGAGAAGTTAATTGTAAAAAGAAGTTAAATCATAAGCAACGATTCATTTGACTGCTCCTTCACAATGTGAAGCGAAGTCCAAGAGGTGCTATGCAAACCAAATGGTGCCCTGCGCTCCATGTCCCAAAGGTGGATTCAAGCATGTACCCAGCATCACAATTGTGGTTCCAAATTCATGTGAAAATTCAATGAGGGGGCGCTTCATTAAAAAGTGCCATTTCACTTGTCAACCGCTAGCTTTCTTTCCTCTTGAAATTTGAATTTGTATGTTTTAATTTTATTTTGAATCGAATAACTTGATTGTGAATTTTTTCTATAAATTTATGAAAATGAATGAAAAAAATTAATAATAAAACTAGGTGTGCATAGGCGTTTGGCGGTTTGTTGATTTCCCAAAGTTGATATTTGCTTATTTGATGAGAAATTATACCCTGAAGTGTGTTATTTTTGTTTCATGTATCTAAATCTATATTTCCTTCTTGAAGTGATGCATAGTGTCATCATTTACCATTGGTGTTGGGCATCATTCATGGAAGAATTGAGGCTTCCATGCTTATGGTGGCTCGGCTTACCATTTCTATAATTCATCTAAACTTTATTTTATTGTGTTAATGCAGCTTCCACTTCCATCAGCACAAGAAAATTCAAAAATGGGAAAAAGCCGGTAACCATTCTGTAGGCCTTGGTTCCATCCATGCCTAAGGTTTTTAATTTATTATTCTTCCTAGCTTTCCAACTTCATATCAAACCTAAGCTGTTCTCATTGATTCCTCAAGTCTCCACACTTCATTATAAGTACAATTTTCTAACCAAGCCATAATCTACCAGCCAACATCTCAACGACACTTAGTCCCATTCATATTTGAGCCATTATCTGTCTCTTCACAAAATATAACACTGTAACGGTGCTTTCAAAAACCTTTGGAATTACCATATTCGCATCACCCACTCATTCAAAGCAATCCTAGTAATCATCATATGTGCTCTCTATATCATCTACAATCCACTTTGAAAACACCATGCTTCCTACATCATTATGACTGGTTTTGTTTATCAATTTTTTGATTAAACTAATAAAAAATATTTCAAAATTGCTAGGGGCCATTTCGTTGAGTGAATTTGTGGTGTACTGTAATTTTTTTTGCAGGAATTTGATAAAAAATTATTTGGTATGAAAAATTACAACTACAATATTATGAATGAATTTAAAGTTAATAATAAATCTATTAATAAAGCTCATTTTTAACTCATTAAGTAGGTTATTTTCTCTTTAGAAATTGCTGATCTATGGTGAAGTCTTTTGTCTATGTCCTTGTTAGCCAATGTAATACTGACATATACTCGTTAAATATTATGATAATGATCAGATCACTTAAAGACATCAGAGGACGAAATGATATTTGTCTCATAACCATAGTTGTTCTTGTCCTACAATAGTTGAGCTACAAGAGCCAGATACAATGGATTTGACTATGTTGATTGATTGTTTGAATACTAGATAATGGTGGTCGTGTTACTCTACCATCTTACAAATGTGATGGTTGTGTACTTGAGTTGAAGTAAACTAAAGTAAACAATACATTTGTATTCTATATGGACACTGAGAGATACCAATATTCATGCCAAATGGGATGCACTTGATTCTATCGCCTCGTGATTCTACTTTACAACCGATGCACATGCACCTATATATCTTCTCGAGAGGCTTCTTGTATTAAATTCCCATCAATTCTCGAAGTTAGGATGGAGAATGTCATTAAATTTTACCAATCCTTAGATGCATCATGCAAAAAGTGCAGGAATTTTTCATCTGAATAAACTTAGTCTTCTCCAAATCTGTTCAACACAAACTCATGCAGATTTAAATGAACTTTGTACCTTGCAAAAACTAGAATTTCTGATTTTTTTTTACTTGTATTTATTCTCCACTGCAGGACCTCTTCTCTTTGTATAGCTCTGTTACATATTCACGAGCATTATTACCTCATTAAGTTAAAACAGGCGAGAGTTGAGGGCGGGAGGATGTTTGTTAAAAGGAAGAAGAAATGAAACAAAATTGGCATGCCATCAATTTCTGAAGTTTGTTGAAGAGATGGATTTTAACCATGATGCCCTTTTGAATGAAGTGCTACCAAGGAAGCATAGAGTCCGCCATTATTGATCATCATATCATGTGTTCCTTTTTCTGCTATCACCCCACCCTTTATCACATAGATTAAATCTGCATTTTTTATGGTAGAAAGTCTGTGGGCAATGACCACTGTGGTTCGGTTTACCTTCACTTGGTTCAATGCTTCTTGAACTACCAACTCGGATTCTGCATCAAGTGCACTTGTTGCTTCATCAAAGAGCAATATTTTTGGTTCTTTCACTATGGAACGTGCAATGGCTACTCTTTGCTTCTGACCTCCAGATAACTGTCCACCTCTTTCACCAACAACCGTGTCATATCCCTGGATCAATTTGCATTTTTACAAATATATAAGAAATTTATTATGATAGCAATTCAGATACCTGCAATTTTGTGGATGATATAATTACCTGTTGGAGGGCGCATATAAAGTTGTGGGAATTGGCTGACTCAGATGCTGCTACTATCTCTGCCTCGGTTGCTTTTCCTTCTTTCCCATAAGCAATATTAGCTCGAATTGTGTCATTGAACAATGATGGTTCCTGGCTTACTAAACCCATCTGTTGCCTTAACCACTTAATCTGAAATCTATTGATGTTGATTCCATCTAACAGTATCTGTCCAGAATCAGGATCATAAAACCTTTGCAACAATGATATTATGGTTGATTTTCCGCATCCGCTCTCACCAACTAGTGCGATTGTCTGAAACATTAAACCATTTATTTAATAACTTCTAGATTTGACACGCTTAGAGGCAGTATCAGACTAGATGATAATTTCTTTTTGCTTAGAAAAGTTTGTCATGGATTTAGTGTATATATTACCTTTCCAGATTTAATAGACAAAGTCAAATTCTGAAGAACTTGGACTTCTTTTCTTGTGGGATAACTAAATCGGACCTGCTGGAACTCTATGTTGCCTCTGAGTTCTTCCAATTTTGTCCCAGAATCATCACTTGCATCTATCTTAGATTTTCGGTCTAGAATTGCTAACACAGAAGCTACAGCACATCTGGCTTTATTAGAATCTGGTGCAACGTTGCTTGAATGGGAGACTCCTATAGCTGCCATAGCCAATGCAAAGAACACCTATATATAATAAAAAAGATAAAAATTAGGTATTTGATTGATTTATTTATTTAAAATTTTCAGCTTCCTCATTCATGTGATTGTAAACTTACTCGAAAAACTTTCCCAAATGTTGTCTTTCCATCCTGAACAAGCCTTGCTCCAGCGTAGAAACTGGCTGCATATACACAGAATAGCAAGAAAAAAGAGAGTCCAATGCCAGTTCCGTTAATAACTGCTTGCCTAATTCCAGTCCTCTTTGGGCTTTTACTTCTCTCCTTGTAAAGTTCCACGACCTTCTCTTCAGCTGTGAATGAGGCGACTGTTCTTATATTTCCCACAGCATCACTTGCTACTTGGCTTGCCTTCTCATATATAATCTGCAAGCATCCATCACCATCTATCTCTTAGATCAAGGAACAACATTTAGTTTCTTTTGAGACTATACGATTAGACCATGCTTTTTGTTTCAATATTTACAAAATGGGATGTTATGAGGAAGAAAATAATAATATAATACATTTGAAATGTTGATGAATGATATTAAATAGAATCTAAACTAGTTATAACGTCCAATTAATGCTTTATAAAAAAGAAATGCATTATGATGCTAAATAGAATCTAAACTTGTTATGGGCTCTAATTAATGCTTTATAAAGAAGAAATGAATTATGTAGATTTAGCAACCTGATCTAATTTTTTTTCAGTAATATTGTTAAAATTGTTTTGGGTATTTTACTTTGATTTTGCTTGTTTCCTTGAATTTGACAGGATAAAGGGGGGCACCTTTGTTAGGTTTAATATATGAGAAATTAGGGTTGTGAATTTAAAATTCCATCATCGTCATTATGGGAAAATATGCAGCCGCTATTATCATATATATAGATATTGATGTGTTACTTACTAATGAGTAGTAGTTTGTAAAATAGACGAACCTTTGCATCAACAGTAAAGCCTTTCATGAACACAATTTGAGCCCATGAATTTAGGCCTATTAGAGGGATCAAACCCAAGATTATGAATGAAAGCTGCCAATTTGCAGCGAAGGCAATGGCTAAACCAATAGACAGAGTTGCTGTGTTCTGAACCAGTAGTGCTAGATTGTCACCCACAAGGCTTCTGAATGCAGCGGCATCCACTGATAGCCTTGCTTCAACTGCTCCACTTGAGTTTTCAGAATCATCAAACCATTCTATCTCCATATTAACGATCTTCTCAAATGTCATTACTCTTATTCTACTGATTAACCGAGATCCAGCGATAGCAAAGAAGTACGATCTAGCTGGCATTGCTAACAAAGACAGTAAACCAAGGACTATGAACATAATCGCATAAAACCTGGAATCCTTCTTTAGCTTATTTGGTGGTTGGTAAAATGTTTCAATCATATTGGATAAAAGAACACCAAAGATGGGTAGAATTATCCCATTAAAAATAGCAGCAATTACTCCAAGTATGAAGATTGGGAGCTCTGGCTTGTTAAGATAAGCAAGTCGCAGTAATGGCAGATCTTGTGATTTGTGCTGGGATGATGATGATGCCTCAGGCATATCTGGTTCCATTGAGTTATCTTGAATTTCAAGTCCTAACGGTAAAACAAATGGTACTGAAAAGGAGTGACGAGGACCCACAGATCTTCCTCGGCTGATAGAACGAGGGAAATTATTCCTCTGACTAGCTTGTCTGCCAGATTCTGCTAAGCTAACAACTCTATCCTGTTCTGAATCTTGCTTCATTTCCTGCAAGTGTAGGAGTTGTGAATATGCTCCCCCTTTATTCTTTAGCAGTTCTCTGTGAGAACCTGATCAATTTTATAGAAAAATAGTTATTGAATGTTATATTTGACATTGGATTGCTTTGTACATTAAAATTAGCAAAATTACAATTTATAAGTTCATTAGTCATTTGAATTTACCTTTTTGAACAATTGAACCTTTCTGTAATACAACTATGGTATCTGAGTTAGTAACTGTACTCATACGGTGGGCAACAATGATAGTTGTGCGAGCATGCATGACCTTCTCTAGTGATTTCAGCACCAATTGCTCAGACTCCGCATCTAGTGCACTTGTAGCTTCATCAAGAAGCAGAATTCGTGGATCTTTCAAAATAGCTCTTGCTATAGCCAGTCTTTGTTTTTGTCCTCCTGATAGCTGAGTTCCATACTCTCCAACCATTGTGTCAAATCCCTGTTTACATTTCGATGTCTTTCAGTCAGCAAAGCCAAGTTTTTTTCTTTCATCCCTTAATCCATTTATTCAGAAAAAAATAAAATAAAATAAAATAAAAATAAAATTACCAACCTGTGGCAGTTTGTTTATGAAGCTAGATGCATTTGATAGTTCAACTGCAGATTTTATCTCTTCAATGGTAGCATCTTCTTTTCCATAAGTTATGTTGTCTCTAATGCTACAGGTGAAGAGGACAGGCTCTTGGCTGACAAGGCTTATCTTTCTTCTAATCCATTTCAGTTGGAACTCTTTGAGATTGATGTTATCTATAAGTACTTCGCCATCTTGTGGATCATAAAATCTTTCAATCAAACTAATCACTGTTGATTTTCCACTCCCACTTTCTCCAACTAAAGCCACTGTTGTGCCACTTTTTATGACAAGTGATAAATCCTTGAATATATGTTCTGATGGTCTTGCTGGATAGCTGAAGCATACATTTTTAAATTCAATGTTTCCATGGATGTCTTCAGGCGTCCTTCCTTCAGTATTCTCGGCATCTATTTCTGGTTTTCTTTCTATGGTTTCAAACATTTTGAATGCTGCAGCTTGTCCGCCTACGAAAGAACTCAGGCAGGGAGATGCTTGGCCTAAAGATCTGAAATGAGAAATAAATTAATCCGAGGAGACCAAATTCTACTCAAGATAAACATAATATGCAAAATGGATGGTTTTATGGATAAACAATAATTTATCATAAATTGACATAGAAGGTTCTTCAGAATAAAATAAATTTGATCATAATGTGTACTTATACATAATTCGAGTTGAAATTGTTCCAAGTCAACCTAATTTTAAGTGGACCATTTTCCAACAGAAGTAAGGTAATTTTAGTTTCACATGTACTAAAATTCCAGTGAATATTGAGTTTTGAATATAATTGCTAGCCCTACCTGGACACTATCCCGTTGGAAGCTTAGATCATAGAGAGATATTTGGAATTTTTAGTTGGTTTATACAGAACCTTCTGCCATGAAATATATTAGTGTTTCATAGTATGACGATTGTTTCTCTTGTAGTCTATTGTGCTATTCCCAATCTTGCATAGATGGTGTATTTTTATGCTTTGTTTATTTTCTTAGCTTTCAATAACAAAGAAAATATTTGAACAAGGCATGCGCCCAGGAGCATTGGAAACTCCAAAAGTTTTTTAGTACATATATATATATATATATATATATATATATATATATATATAGGGAAATCAATCTATCATTATTTACATATAAGTTAAATGTGTTTGTGATGGAGTAATTGGATGGGTAACCTCCTTTGAAGTTACACAAAGGGGACATTAGTGATATCACAAGGCTTGGATAAAATATCTTACATGGCATGATAATTTAGGCTACTACATTAATCACAAGCCACTATAATAGTCATCAATTTCTTCTTATGAAGGCCTCCAACTTTCAGCTATCATCTTCAGTTCTTCAATACTTACCGTCGAACATCAAATAAAGAAATATCTCTATATAAGATTAGCTAAGGTAACTATCAACTAAAAATCACTCCATCAACCGCCTCTCCATCCTCAGCCTCTACTCCTAAATGAATGAAGGGGAAGAATGAGTGATGCCCTTCAACACCATACAATCATATTCTTTTATGCTATTTAGAGGTGCTAGGTAGCAATCTTATAGAGATTAGGAAGATGAGATTTGGAGGGAGGTTATATACTTGTAGAGATTAGGTACGATTTTTTAAAATGCTTGAAAAATACATGTAGCGGGTTTTCACTTGATAATGAAATTAGGCTTCTTATTTTTCCCAAATATAGAACATAATCTTCCAGAGCATGAGTATTTTTAGTTTCTTACTTTTTGTTTATTCGCCAATGAAGATTCAAACTTTTACATTAACATGTTTATAAGGCTTCCACATTTATCAAGATCTACTCCATTCTAACTTTTTATTATCTCTATAATTAAATAATTTTAGAGAAATCTATCTAGAACTCCTATGGCCTGTACTCCTTGTAAGACAGCACTTGTGCATGTAAAGAGCACTGCACTTGGTTATGACCATGTTATGATGTACTTGCTCCTTCAATTGAAATATAGAAGTAGTGATTGAATCTTTAAACTTTTTAAATTTAATTTTCAATCAGTGTAACACCTTAGAATTTCATCATTGAAGAGAAAAAAAAGTTATAGCATTTTGCTAAAAGATGCAAAAGTTGTTGAGTGGGGACGGGCAAAACTTACAGGGAGCTGGTAAGAACTGCAAAGATGACATTGAATACATCACCGCCTGTATACCCTTTCTCAAGTATCAATTTACAGCCGTACCAAATCCCAAGAGCATATCCACAAAAGAATAGTAGCATAGCAGTGCCAAGCCCTATTCCAGCAACAAGACCCTCTTTAACACTCGAATGGTACGACAGTTTCAAGGATTGACAATATTTATCCACGGCTTGTTTCTCCCCAGTAAAAGATGCAACCTGTTCGGTTTGAAAATTCATTAGTTTACATCATCCATGAAATTAAATAATTGTTATGGTATAGATTGTAATTGTGCTCACAATTCTAATAGAATTAATTGTTTGCTCTACAAGATCTGCTGCTGCTGCATAAGCTGTCTGCCCTTGTGATGCCATCTTTGCCATAACTTTAGAGATGATTGCGCCAGCAAATACAAGAGGAGGAATGGTAGACAACATAGCAAGGGTCAGGAGCCAACCTTGGACAAATGCTACTGTAAAACCTCCAAAGAATGTTGATATTAGCTGAATGAACTGACCAACCTGTAAAAAAATTTAACATGAGTTTAGATTTATTTTCTTAAATTTTAGATTTATTTTATCACTCTTTTTTTTTCTCGTATACCTTTTCACCCATGGCATCTTGAATGATGATCGAATCACCTGAAATCCTCCCAACAATTTCTCCAGTGTTAATTTCCTTATCAAAGAATGCAATCTCCTGCCTTAAAATAGCCTTCAAGTATACTTTCCTCAGTCTTTCTGCTTGTCTCTCACCTGTATGCATCCAACAGGACGCCTCTGCAAAAGAAATTGTGTTAAGTTTTTAGTTTCAAGCCATGCTAATCTTTATCAGTTTCCTTGATAACAAAATGTTGATAATAGAAACTACAATCGCATACTCACGGAGAAAAGAAGCTATGCCTGCTCCAAGTGCCAAATACACAAATTTGAGGGTTTCCTAAAAGAATATAAGGCATATTTAATTATCAGCACACTTGCTCTAAGAAGCATTAAAGTACAGCCCTTTTTATGTAATTCAAAATATGATTTGATTAAGCACAAGTATTGCGAATCTAAAAAGCTTTAAAAATATCAAATGTAGCTATTCCCATTGTAAAAAAATACCTTGGAGACTTCATGTAACACATTCTGAATGTCCACAGTTCTTCCAAAAGAGTTGATCAAATTTCCAAAAAACAGTGTAGTGAGAGGAAGTACAAGTCCATTTGCCACAGCGCCAGCTGTGCCTATGATCATTAAAGCAATATCCATGGAGTCTGCATAAGAGAACAACTTGTAAAATGGAGCCATGTTGTTTCCTTCATCATTTTGCTCACTCTTGTGATCTTGCTTAGTTTCAGTCTTCTTTTCTTCTTTTAACATATGTTCGTTTGAGCTCTCCATTAAAATTTTCAACTTGTTAAGATTTCAATTCATCATCCTTGCTAACTCAACTTGGGCAAGGCTCAATAGTTATTCTTATCCTCTTTCAAGTCCTTATGTTGCTTTTCTTTTGGCTGCTTTCTCAATTATTTCTTCTGGCACTTGTATATAAATGCCCTGCATGGCAATAACATACATTGGATTGGAGAAAAATTGATTTTGCTATTTAGAGGTGATAAGGACATGGCATTAATCATAAAATATATTAAATTTTTCAAAGAGCAGTTTTAGTGCATTTAGATTGAAAACATTGCCAACTAACTATTTTTTTGTTCACTTACATGAATAACACTCGAAACATTGTTATTTACAAACCAATAGCCTCTTTCATCCATATTTTGTAAATTCTTGCTCAAATATTAAAATTCACAACAAAACCTCAACCCATATATAATTTTCATTTTTATTAAATTCCGAGTGGTTTGATTGAGGCCAGCTTAAATGCATCAACCAAAATAAAATAAAAAAAATGTGAGAGTATCTAAAAGTTAGCATTTTGAAGCTTAAAGTTAATGTGAATTCCTAATTGCATGTAATTAAATGATTTATCTGACAAATTAAATCGTTTTTTTTTTAATTTTCTAAGTTAAAGCAACCTAGTAGGTTTGTTAAGTTTTTTCTAATTCATGACACGAATGCCTTTCTTCCTAACTATCCAATTTTCCTCTTGTAAACTCGTCCTCTCCCATTCCACGCCTCCAAATTTCATGAAACACTCAACCCTTAAGGCCTTAATGACCAAAAAAAAAAAAGAAGAAAGGAACAAAAGAAAAGAGGAAATCGTGTGGGAATTTTGCTAAAAATTTGATATACCATTCGTGTGCAAAGGAGCTTGTGAAATAAATGACGACACAAAATGTCTGAAAATCCTTAAATATTACAAATATGAATGCCATAAAAGTTCTACAGAATAAATGTTTTGCCCCAAAAATTTGTGACATGATTTAAACTAAAATTTGACCTAATGCTAATTCAATCTTGACAAACACAAGAAATCAAAGGCTGAAAGTATAATTTATTTATGTTGAATGATTGCAATAAATTATATTCAATACTTCTTTATTTTCTTTATTGAATTTGGTGGCAAGTAGTTGAATGCTATTTTTTTTTTTTTCAAGTTATCTGTTAGTTTATATTTATAAAAGTATTTTGATAGTCTGTAATTTAAATTTGTGACTTATTTATTACCACATTAAAGTACTTATTTTATCAACTTAGGTAAGCCAAATATAAGCGAAGCACGATTATAAAAAAATGAAAGCTTGGCTGAGCTCTAAACATAAAATCTTTAATGTTTAGAGCTCGATTATAACTACCTCTAATGTCACAAAGTGACATCCATTCTATGAGGTTTTTGACTTGGTCCTGCTCGATTATAACTCTACACGTACATAGAATTTTTTTAGAAAATAATTATTTTATCATCAGTTAATTTGTTTAAACATAAAATCATGATATTTGAGGGCCTATGCAAAGGCTTGAGTAATATAAGGCCTCAAACCATGCAATCTTATGTAGTTTTAAAGTAGAGGAGATGATTGTTGTATGGGGCGTATGTCCCATGAGTTGAGTTATTCCCATTAGTGAATGGATGGCCTCATTAACTTAAATTAAATCATCAATTTATTAAATTTTCTGTTGTCGTAAATGACCCTTCTATCTATTTAAATAAATTAAGAATATAAAGGTCGATTTATTTCAATCTTTTAAGATTCAAATATTGTCCAAGTGATTTCTCTTCCACAAATTTATAGAAATATAGGTAAATTAGGTCCAAATTGTGTTAGCTTTTTTTCTGTCGTATTTGTCTCTAAATCCTTACTATCATAGAGGATTCCTCAGTACAACACTTTATTTTTCTTGTTGATTAGCTGCTCTTCTTCATTTACTTTGCAGTCGGCAAGTCTTGTTTCATTCTGACATCGCGCTGTATGAATATGTTTATTTAAAAGCTAATATATGAATCATATGATTTTGAATTATGGATTATGAAATATTGCCTCGCCTTGTTCCCTTAAATTTTAAGACATTACTTGTATCTGTATCCAGCCAAACGAATATTATAAATTTTCCTGTCTATCAAAACATGTTTTCTAACTCCAAGCCATCAAATGAGCCCTAAATATGTGAAAGATGTGGGTTGCTTAGGGAATCTAACCAACACCTAGTGCTTATTTGGTTAATTTTAAATACAAAAATATAATGATGATTTCATTCACTTGATTTGAATGCGAAAATGAAGCCTCCCACTTTGGAGTGGTTTTTGAGAGTGTTTGTTGATTTGGAAATCATTTTTGATGTCCAAGTCTATCCAATAAAATGATGAATTTAACAAAATTATTTATTTTTCAAGCACTATTTCTAATTTCAAGATATAAAACGAATTCTAAATATATTACAAAAAATAATAACAGGAAAAGAAATGTTAAAGCATCTTGTACTACTAGCTATATAAACTCTCCTCCCCTAAGACAGACGATAGGATTAAAGTTTGGGCTGGCAGTGCCGTAGAAATTAAAGGAACGAGAAATCACAGAAACCTGGAAAGAAACGATGGGAAGCAAGAATTACCTGATGTTTGTGGAAATTCTCAGTTGCTGCAACTCTGAATTCCCTGCATGAGAACCCGAAAGCTTTAGAAGATAAACAATTAAGCATTCATACTGTTCGTAAATGCTAAATAATAGTTGAAGCACAAGAGAGTGATAATATACTTACTACAAAGTCATTAAAAGATCGTTTTGGCTACAAGAGTGCAGGAGATTGCACTATAAAACTATTTATCACTATATAAGAGGGAATGAAAAATGAGGATATACCTCTTGTGTCAATTAAATGTGGGTCATACTATATGATATCACTCTCTTCTGACACTCTTCTGCAGCAGCGGGAGCTTCACATTTTCATTATAAGAAGCAATACCGAACATCAGAAAAGCCAAACACCAAGACGGTTAAATGAATAAACAAAAAAAAATAATAATAATAAAATAAAAGCAGAACTTATTGTCTATGATGCCATTATACATAACATCTGAAATAAAAGGGTTGGAAGGCCCAGAAACCTCAGCTTTTCTCTTTTTGTATTCTTTTAGGTGATGAGATTCTCTCTGCCGTCTTCAAATTCTAACAAAAAATACAAGTTAAAATAAGAAGAGAGGTTCAGAGCAGCTGCTGCCAGAATATTTAGCATGAGACGAAAAAAAAAAAGGTGTCGTACAGAGAAAACGAGGAAATGAACTCACAACTAATCTAAATGGGGAAAAGGAAGAAAATTTGTGGATGGAGGCTGCGCTGCGACCAGTAGCTGGGACAACACACTTAACTCTTCATTTCTTGAGATTAATCAAGTTGCCTCAATGGCTTAAAATAAATTTTGTGTCAGGATATTTTCCTGATAAATTAGCATAAGTTACACAATCAGTCAATTTAAATAAAAAATTATATTGCTATATATAATTTTTCCAAATGAAAAGCTCCCAGGAGCATAAGAAGCTTCAGAGCAGCTGCTGCCGCCCAGACTCTTTCCAAGGCAATATCTTGTTTTTACTTAAATTTTAAATTCAGCCGCAGCTCCAGGCCATACGCCAGCTTAAAAATGACATTTTTGTCATGCGAGGAAAAAAAAATGAACTCATTTATTGTATTTAATGAAGATGGCATCTTCCACTTGCAGAGATAGAGTAGGCCTGATACGCAGCACCTTTGGAGTCATCTCCTCGATCAATTTGTTGAATCGCATCTCCTCAATTTTGTGGTCAACAATCAAAGCTGCTCTTTTGCTCCGTTTTACAGTATTGACGAATGGAGCGCTTAGGCTCCGCTAGGACCTCTTTGTTGTCTGCTTAACCTGCGTGGATAAAAAAATGGTTTTTCAGTCGGTATTGAATAGAGTTGCATGGAGGTGAGATTATTAGACCATCCTCCGCCTTAGTAACACGCGCACTTACAGAAGAGATGAAAGAGATTATGGAGGTGCTTCCTTCCCTTAAATTTCTTTCAGAGAATATAACAGAATTACATAATAAATTCTCTTTAGCTTCTTCGTCTCTAATAATTAATGTCTCGTTAATTGTTCGTGCAAGATAAATATTTTAAAAGCGCAACTTTTATTTTTAAATTATTGTACAATGACGTGATATGTACAAAGTGTGATATGTACAAAGTTTTTTTTTTTTTTTTAAAAAATAAAAAATACAATCTCAAAGAGTTTGGGATCCATTTGTAATGCTTTTCAATCGAATTAATTAAAAAAAAAATGAAGTATTATAATTTTAGCCAGTGTGAAACATAGAGAGTGATGCTATGATGATTTTAACAGCACTATATCATCCAACGAAGTCATCAAGGGATGATATATTTTCAATTTAGAAAGGATTTGGTTTAAAAAATTAAAAGATCTCAAATATGTATTTTATTAAAAAAAAAAAAAAAAACTTTGAATTCATCATATCAAATATTGAATGGTATATAAGCATCTCAAATTAATTGAAGATTCTCCCGCGAAGTAAGTTTCACTCATTTATTTCTGGAATTTTGTCTTTGTCTGCCGACTTACTTAATAACTTATTATTTATTTTATTAATCATCAGCTGGTGATTGAGTTGTTAGTTGACTATTTCGATCTAATTAATTGAAGATTGCAGTCCTGAATTGTTTTTTATTTCCGGAACTGCCACCAGAGGTGTGTGTATATATATATATATCTATATCGATATTATTAATTTTCATAAATCCGCTAAAAATTTTATTTTAGGTTCGAGTTGAACTGATTTGACTCTTAACAGAATTATTTATTCAAAAATTAGTGCGTTGTTCACACAAATTTAAATCAAGTTGCTTGGGAAGTTTACACATAGCTGCCACATAATTTTATGTAATTATATATTTAATATTTACTATAAGTAAATATTAAAGTTTAAGCGGTGGACACATAGATATAAAGGAATTGTGTGGCATTAAGGTAAACTGTCCCCACTTTTTTCTTTTATCAGCCAATGGTCAAGCTCTATCAGACACAGCAAATAGAAAATATATCATCAGGATCAACTTTTAAGAGAGCAGAGGTCCACTCTCCTGCTCTAAATTATGATCTACAACAGAACTTCTATGTTGACGACATACATAGTACAATAAAGCTCAGGAAACAAAATCAAACCTAAATGAAGAATACATAATTGTATGGTTCAAATTGGTAAAAGTTGCCTGGAAACTCAACAAAGAAATAACATATCTTCCCCCCTTTCTGTGAACTTGGAAGATCATGTGCCTTCTTTGAAATGTCCTTAAACTACCAAAGTAATCAAATTCTTTTTAGGGAAGTTAAGCTTTAGTGACAACTAAGTTAGAAATTAATGATTAGAGTGTTCTACAAGCATGGGTCTCCTAATATTAGAGAAAATTCTCTACCAATTTCTCTACAAACCTTGCATAAATCAGACAAATCCTTTTGCATGGCTTTTTACAGCTTAAAAGATGGGAATTGTTCACAAAACAGAAATGTGATCATTACCATCACATGGCACTTAATTGTTACAGGAAAAAAAAAACCACAAGACATTTAGTCAAGCTAATCTCTCTCAAATCCTCGAAATTCTCATTGAGTAGATCGATTAATGTTGTAAATATGATTCTAATCAAGGAAAACACAATAATCCTCTCCATTATACCATCTTTGAGGCTGAAAATTTTCCATTATTAGCCAAAGAAACTATTGGTTCACACAAAGCTCATAATGAGAACCATCCTCATTGATATATATCCACCTGTGGAAATTCCTGCCAAGAATTCACCACCTAGCTTCTGGTGATTAGGCAAGTCTATAGGAAGGACATCCTCAGATACCTCCAGCAAGGAAGGGTAACCTTAAGATGAGATCCTCCCGGTGAGGCGAAGCAACATGTGCTATTCCCCTCTTCCTTTTCTTCTAAGGCCCAAGGACTGCTCACACTACTGCCTGATCGACTAACAAACTCATTACAACAATACAAAAGGACTCGTTATGCAAAGTGAACAGACAACAGCAAGATTCAACTGCCCTATAGATCCTATAAATTAGGGGAACAAGCAAGAGAAGATGACACCTTTCCTGCTTCCCCTATAATCTCTCTGATGTAAAGATTCTCTTGTAATCCATTGAAGGTGAAGACAAAAGGTATGAAAGACTAGAAAGTTATACAATGATGCTACCTTGGGTTCACAAAACACGCTATAGATAAGGTTGGAGGACCAGGAAAAAAGTTAACACTAAAATCTACCATACAAAGAGCTCTGAGCATGTAAACAAATGATATTTCGAATTAAAAATTACAGCCTGCGTTTATTTGAGATTTGCTTGACCACCCGGCCTGCCAAAAACTAAACCGCCTCAATCCTACATATAACAATAAAATCACCATTACCAGTTTTGATACTCCCAAATAATTAACGTTGCTTGTAAGAGAAAATGTTGAAACTTGGGAGCCGTTTGGGATCACTTTTATTTTTTATTTTTATTTTGTTTTGTTTATGATTTGATTTGGAATAAAACATGTTTGATATGTTTGATTAAGATATGATTGTTTTTTAAAACATTTAAAATGCCTAAAAGTTATTTTTTTGTATTTTCAAAAACATGTTTATTTATTTAAAAATAAAAAATAAAAATACAAAACAACACATTAAATAAACATGTTTTCAAAAATAAAGAAAAAAATAAAAAATAAAAAATGATCACAATCAAACCCTCAGTCTCGGGCAATGAATTCCTAACTGTCCCCAAGTATTATCATAGTAGAATATGTTGAAGAACAACAACTAATATCACAATAATAACCCATGGGTACAAGAACGTCTCATGGAAGTAGAACTACTTAAGCTCATGCGATACACTGAAAAGGGAGCCATCTCTTCGACTCCCAAAAAAGAGAGATAAAAACAGAAATGAAATGAACTTCTACTTGCAAACACTTGCGCTCCATCCGACTTAAAAAATTCTCAATCCTGTTTTTGTGACACAATTCTTGGGTATATTCTCCTTACGTGACTCGGATTAGTGTTGTATCATTGTGAAGTAGAATTATTTGCTTTTCAAAGTATATGAAATAAAATCCAATAGAATATTATTTAAAGAAACAACAACGTGCGACGCCGATGCCTAGCCTAAAGGAAAATTTTGTCTTTTATATGCCTAAGAGCAATTTAATCTTTTAATATTATTATTGTTGGTATAAATGAGCTTATTATGTTTAGAGGGATTTGGTTTTTATGCATTAGATTAGATTGTGAGTCTTATGTTTAGGGTTTGGAAGAGATTTCCTACTTCTTGAACTGCAGGAATTGGGAGAGATCACCTATCTCTTAAATTGTAGGTGTTTATCTTTTGTATTCTTATTGAGTTGCTTGGATTATTGAAGAAAATATTTGTGTTTGCCCTAATTTTTGTGGAAAGGCTGACGTTGGATTGTATAAAATTGGTATCAGAGTAGTCAGTTCTGGGGATCAAAGATAAAGGATCAGACGTCGAGAGCCAGAGTTTTGGTCCACGACGTGAACTTGGCATATAGGGAAAGCCACGACGAGATCACAACTTACCGAGACCCGAAACTCGAGCCTTTCAGCTTGCAGGGAAGGACACAAGGAAATCACCTCTTATGTCTTCTATAAGGACTGATGAAATCGCAGCGTACAGAGACCCGAAACTCCCATTTCTCTTCCTCCCACACCGTATACCGATAGAGTCACGATCATAAATACTTGGGAAGGCAGCGACTAAGAAGTGGCACACAGAGACGTGAAATTCCCAACTTTCTCCTCTTCCTATTTTGTAACTCCCATCTTTCTCTTGTTCTAGCTTTTCCTTAGCGCAACAGTTGCGATTCCAAGCTAGTTTGGACGGGACCACAATTACCAAACAGTTGTGATTGGTGCTACTTGGGAAGTCACGACTGAATTGGAATGATACTGGATCGCTGACGTGCGGAACAGCCGCTAGATTTGTTTCATTCAGAAGCAGACGATGGATTTCAGGATATAAAATTGTCTTTTGTTATAATAAAAAAAATTTTAATTTTTGAGAAGAATGGAAGCCCAAAAAATAAATGATTTGGAAAAAAAATTAGAGGAAAAGATCAACCAAATTAACTCCGAGATGGAAGAAAGGTTTACCACTATTAAGAATAGGTTTTCTTCCATGGAGGACCGATTTGAGAGCATGGGGCAAAATCGAGAGATGATAAAGAGGCTCATTGAGATGCAATCCAAGACCCCGCCAACGACTTAATTTACAAAATCTAAAAGAAAAGAGATCGAACGTGAGGAACATAAAGAGAAAAACATTCAACATCACAAAACCCCTCCAATGGCTCCGATTGGGCGGTTGGGCCAAAACATGGAGAAGAGGTTATGATAAAGGTATAGGGGAGCACGAAGAAGAAATGAGAGAAGGAAGGAGCTTTAACCTCAAAATATGGGAAGGTGGGGGGACATAGGAGGGAGAGGAAATTGGGGTAGAGATGTTAGGGTTAGGAAGTTGAAGATATCGATCTTTGAGGGGTAAGACGCACATGGGTGGGTGCATCGGGTAGAGCAAAACTTCGCGGTGAATGGCTTATAGATGGGTGGGAGAAGCTCATGACGGTAGAATTATGTTTGGAGAGAAAAACCTTAGCCTGGTTTCAACTGAGATAGGCTAGATACCCGATTCGTTCGTGGGATAAATTTAAGGATTATTTGTTAGAACGTTTCCGAGCTATTCGAGAATGTGGCCTACACAAACAATTCTATGTCTTGACATGGGAATGAACGGTCATGGAATATAAAGAGAAATTTGAATTATTGTCGGAACAACTATGGGGGATCTCTGAAGTAGGATTGAAGGAAAATTTCATGAAGGGCATAAAGCCAGACATACTGGCAGCACTCTGACTCTTAAGACCGCGGGGATTGAGGGGGACGATGGAGCTAACCTAAATGGTGGATGACAAGAACCAGATGGAGAAGGCCAGTAGGAGCAGCACAGATGGAGCGTCGTACCAAACGACTACAACCACGACGATACCAAAAGCTCAAACTGTGGAATTCCATATGGAAGCTGCACGAGACAGAAATAATGGGTCATGACTGAGAGCGCACTTAAACATCTTATAGAAACAAAGATTATGGAGAAGCGAACTAAGGGTTTAAATTTTGGTGTGATGAGAAGTTTACTCCATGACACCATTGCAAGGATAAAAAATTACAAGTTCTAATAGAGCATAAAGAGGAGGTAGAGGATGAAGAAATAAAGACAGCTGTGGTGGAGGAGGAACACTCATTTTATTCCACCTTGAAGATAGGGCGTCTTTTGGGTGAGTGGGCGAGAGTATTGTTATGTTGGTGCTTAGCCTAAGGGAAATTTAGTCATTTATTATGATGGTTGTTGGGTATAAATAGACTTATTATGTTTAGGGTTAGGTTTTTATGCATGAGATTGGATTGTGAGTCTTAAGTTTAGGGTTTGGGAAAGATTTCCTACCTCTTGAGTTATAAGAATCGAGAGAGATCGCCTACCTCTCGAATTGTAGGTGCTTATCTTTTGTATTATTATTGAGTTGTTTGGATTATTTAAGAAAATATTTATGTTTGCCCTATTTTTGTGTGGAAAAACGTGCCGATTTTGATGTCGGATTGTATGACACTCTTGTCATTAAGAACAAATCCTAACTCAAACAGAAAATAAATACAACCTATCCTGGTCGTAATGAAGATATCTCTACCAAAAACTTCCGAATACCGATCAGAAATGAGCATACTTACATGAGGAAGTCTACACCAATTTTGCCGCAGGTATCTTCTTGCAGCTCATTAGCAGTGATTTACCGTAACAATAACAAGTGCATACAGTTAAAAAAATATGCTTGCATCATATTACATTCTAAAAAAATTTTATTTACCATCATTCTCCAAAAAGAAGAGATGTTCCTTAAGAGCCCTTTTAATAATCAAGTAAGCAAGAATATATATGTTCCGGAAATCACCCAATTACTAAGAAGTTTTAAACGGACAATATCAAAAGAAACTCGTTGCACACAAAAATATCAGCCAGTGACACTAATCTACAATTCTATCACGTAGCATTAATATGCAGTAGAACTGGCATAGAAAAGGAAAAAATAAGCTGACTGCTGCAAAGAAAACTGATCTCAGTTATGGTAAATAACCTATTTTGCACTGAGAAACATGGGCAGAAGATCCTATGATAATCTCATAATCAACAGGTCAGCAGTAGACAAGGTTGCTGATCAAGGGCATGGTTATACTGAGACATCAGTCAGCAACTCAACTTAGAAAATATAAGGGAAAATGAACAATCTGCTGAAATTTTGACATTGGTTTCGAGTAAAATCAACAAAAACAAAATTTTAATACAAAGGAATATCTTGTTAAAACTTTTATACAGCACAATGGAAACTAGTGTAAATTCTGCAACAAAAAATGTTCTCCCTTAATCTAAGAAATTATATCCTTAGATCCTGGTAAAATTATAAACTTCTATCAGCTTAATATCTAGGATTTAATTCATGCTCAACACTTGAAATTGACATTTGCATTCCTTTTGACTCTTGACTACTTTAATTTTTGAAGTGGCCAAAAAAAAAAATCCATCTCCATTGTAAAACCGGAGCAAAATTTTGACCTCATGCTGTACTGCGTAAGGAGAATTAGCCAATTATTAAAAAAGGAACCCATGCACCTAACTGCATCTTGCAAGTAAATCACTTGGATATGACAGTATTTTAGTCTATGCGTGGTAAATCATTAAAAAATACTGAGGATAAATTACACATCTTCATTGTCTGCTCCGAGGTCAGATTGGGCTTGGAGCTTGAGGTTATGGCTTTCAAAACTCTACTTCATGTTCACGTTGAATAGTTGCAACTAAAATACATAGAAACTATTCCCAGCTAAAGAAAGTGTCACGCCCAGCTTACTAGGCCCTGAAGAAAGTCGCTAAACCTAGTGTTCAAGCTGAAATTTAATAAATAAGTCCAATAAGTATAAACATAATTTTAATTATATATGTGTCTCTGACAACATTATCGAAACATTTAAATTCAAAAACCACATATTAATCTATCTACCAAAATGTAAATAAAAATTAAGTACAGTATTGAATCAACTAATATTTTAGTGGGATCAAGGCTTTATTGTTGTTGTTGTTGTTGTTGTTGTATTGAATCAACTAAAACTCCAACTTTGAACCTTTCCAATATTAGACTTGAAACATGACTCTGCAAGTTTCCCTATAAGATGCAACTAATAACATAAAAAAATCATAAAACATAGCTGCGAGTTTTACAAAAAATAAATTCACATGATAAAGCTCCACTCAGTAAAGTACAAAGTGCAAAATATAGAGCATAAATAAAACCAAAGAAATGAATTGTAATAAAAATAGGTACATACCATAACAATAATAAAAATATAAAAGAAAAGATTTCTATACACGGGAATCATTTAATAGTGCTTATTCTACAACGGAGTTCACAAAGAATTATCCATGCAAACAAAATTATTATTGTGTTCAAACGCAGAAGAAGTCCACCGACGGGCATATGTACTGATAAATCACCAATGACTCACCAATCATATATCATTTTTTTATATCAATATCGCCACCATAAATCTGTAAGTCAAACATCAACCCATAGAAATTCAATAATTTTAGTAGAATCATTACTCTGTGAATCATCAATCCGATTAACATATATTCAAAAGATTTCAAACAGCAATACAGACATCATTCACACCAATGAACATCTTATGATTTTTTTTGCAACGATAACAATTTTTAAAACGGATTATAAAATGATCAGATTTGGTTACATATTGATATAATTTATGATTTATGTGAGTAGTGGGTATTTCTTGATAAGTAAAATAATATATTAATTACACAATAAATTTGTTCAAGATGGCAAAATTAACTGTTACATTAGGTCAACATGATGTGAAATACTATGAATAAATAAGCACATTTTAAAAATAAATTAGCAACAACTTAAAACATGCTAAAAAGTAGCAAGAAATATGCACCTATTAAGGAATTACATGTTTAGCCCTTAGTGAAGAGTCACATACCTATTGACGAACACACGCAATCCATTATTTCAATCATAATATTGACCTTTTGAGCTCTAATTCATGGTGTTCCAGAAGCCCTAGATTCAAAAGAATATAGATCAATCATATATTCAATACATTGCATTACAAAATATTCAATAATCAAAACAATTATACAAACTCATTATTGTAATCAATGATTCTATAATTTGCCCCAATTTATATGCATAATTAACCCAAAAGCATCCATACCTAAATCTCAATATTACTAATGATCTTTTGATTATAATAATCTTAAAAGTTGTCCAATTGAAGCAAATCCATTAAACCTTTGTTAACATTATAAAAAGCTTGATATCCCTTTCTTCCAAATTAATAATCTAATTATTACTTGAATTAAATAAATCTCACCTACTCAATCCTCATCCACCACCCTTAATCAATAGATATTAAATCTTAGGTTAATATTTACGTAACAAACCTTAAAGAGAAAATAGATGAAACAAGATTATGGTTAAATGAATACCACAAGGAGACAATATAGAGTCAAATGCCTCAAACCAACTATTTTAATCACTTAAACAATATCACATAAACCTTAAAAATTGGTTTAGGTTTAATTTCACCTAAACTTCATTAAAATAGTTTGGTAATATTTTAAGAAAAAAAATTAGGCTAGGTCATTACTTTCTTAAAGAAAATCAAGATGAAGATAAAGAATACGTGAGAAGGAAGGAAAAAAAAAAGGTATGAAACCTCCTCCCATCTCTTCCCTCAGATTTCTCTCCAACGGCTTTATTGAAGCCATCAAATATAAGACTGGGATTTCTTCTTCATAGTTCTTGCTCATATGGAGAATAACCTGGGAACTGATGTCAATTGCCAACTTGCTTCTGCTCAATTTACTTATCTAATACTCGCTGCTCATTATCACATGCATGTCTTCTCTCTCGCACCATCCCCTGATTCCCGGCCTTGCCTCGATATCCAAGATGAACTTGAGGAGGTGGGGAGCTAACGTCGGCCGGTTCGGTTGGACAACAAATATTTTTTCCATTATTATAGTTCATTACAGAAAGGCCCAACTTCAACTTAAATGAACGAAGCATGTTAATCTCATGATAATACTATAAAACCATAGTTCAAACTGTAGAGGTCTTCTTAGCAGTGGTTATGAGCTTTTGGCTGTATTAGTGCATTACACATGAATGATGAATATGATGAAGAGAAAACATCTCATTTTACGGATCATCAAAAGAAGAAGCTTCTGCATCTCCCTCTGTGCGATTTCTTATGCCACACAAGAAGATTGGTACAGTCATGAAAACTGTTTGCCATTGCCACTATTATGAACCAAAAATCAGTTTCCGCTTGATATTGACAGCTTTCTTCGCCTGCAACATAGTGATTATTCAGGTAAATGAAAAAAAAATAAAACTGAGAAAGATCCAAGAACTTCTACCAAGATACAGACAAGTTGAAATAAGGAAAAAATGAAGCAACAAAAGCTTATAAGCAGTTGGCCAGATCTAGAGAACTTAATTTTAAACTATTGCAAAAATATTTTCTGACAAACTGACTTGCCAAACTTGTAAATGTAACAAATTCTGATCCCTGGAAAAATATTGATTAGGACATGGACTTCAATTTCCAATTCATGATGCTGAACTGGCCGAGATGCAGTTGACAAATTGCATGACAAACAGCTAATCTTTTATCATCATTATCATTTACCTTATCCAAACTAATTGGGGTTGTCTTATCCTGCCAATCTTTTACAAGGTAAAATTTTCGTGCTCTTGAAGTTAAAAAGTAAGAGTTTTCCAGCTCCTACTAAATATTCCTTATGGTAAAAAATACGTTTAGATTGCTTAGACAACTGAAATAGTTGACTATTCTGTCGCAAATTTAATATCCACAAATGGCCCAAACTTGATAAATAGGCACATAGGATTAATTATACTGTCCTTGATAATGAAGAAGCCTCCATTTGTGTCTGGGAAAACAGCAGCAATTGCACAATTGCTAACTATTTTTGATATCGGAGTTAACTCAAACATCAACGGAATGAAAATATTATTGCTGAATTTCAAAGGTGTTACAAACAAAGATTCTTAAATTAGGAACAACAATGACAAGCACAACGACTACCTAGAGCAAAGTTCGGTGGAGGTGGGCTGCATGTCGAGGTTGTAGGAACGAAGGGTTGTAAGTAGTAGGGAGGTCTCGAAGCAGCAAAAGGTTTGGTAGGAAGGCAGGACAGCAAGCATGAGAAGGTAGGCAAAGGGCGGCAGCCAGTAGTTTGGTAGTGGCGAGGTGCGGAATCAAGCTAGGTGGCTGTTGGAGGCTGCGGCAGTAAACATGAAAGGCGGGGGAGAGAGGGATATGGGGAAGTAATCACCACCTTTGAGCTGATATAGTCGGAGCACCACTTGTCTTAGGATGCAACTCAAGCAAGTGAGAAAGACGCATATCACAGAAACCTGAAGTAGAAACTGAACCCTAATCAAAGAAAACAACACACACACATATATATATATATATATATATATATATATATAGGGTGCAGATTTGAGTAGTCCTGGCTCTGATCATAAACCCATTCTATTCACTGTGGCTCATTTCCTAAAATCTAGTGAATACCATATTTCAAGTATTTAAATGTTTGGTCAAAACATCATAACTTCCTAAGGGTGGTCAAAGATAATTGACAATGTAATGTTGTGGGCAATGACTAATATGCACTTTGGCAGCTACATTAAAAAGTGGCAAAAACGTTAAGAAGTTAGAATTGGTATGTGTTTGGGGTTGTGCACAAAAAAGTAGTTCAGACAAAGGCAAGGGTGAAGCAAATCAAAACACTAGATGAGGGAGGGGGTTTAGTGGGGAAGGAACTAACTGAGGCTCACAAAGAGCTACTGAAAGCTGTTAAATGGGAGGAGGAACTACTTCAACAAAAAGCGGGGGAGATTCATTTTAAAGAAGGTGACAGAAACACAAAGTATTTCCAGACATGTATCAAAAAGAAAAGAAACATAAACACTATTCTAAGAATTAAAGATGTCAATGGGGCTTGGATTACTTGTTAGGGAAAATTGGGGGAAAGTGTTGTTGAATATTTCGTTGGTGAGGAGTTGGATACTACAATCAATTATGATCTATTCAGGGAGGCAACAACCTTAGCCTTTGCACGTTCCTGATGAGAAGGAGATTTTATATGCATTTAAAAGCATAGACTGCATTAAAGTTGCAGGGCCTGATGGTTTTACATCTGATCTCTATCTGAAATGTTGGCATATCATTAGAAAAGAAGTAATTGGAGCAATCCAAAGTTATTTCAGAGGAGATGAACCTAGTCTTTATTTCACTATTGCCACTGTCATCTTAGTTCCAAAAAATCAGAAAAAGGTCAATTGGGATCAATTTAGACTAATCACTAACCTCTGTTATATCTAAAGTAATTACCAAAATAATTGTTCATAGATTACAATCCCACCTTCCTTTATTTATTTCTGCAAACCAGTCAGCTTTTATAAAGGGCGGAGAAATTTCATATATCATTTTACTAGCCCAAGAACTAATGGAGGATCTAGATAGGACCTGCAAAGTAGGTAACATGATTTTAAAACTTGATATTAGAAAAGTCTATGATTCTATAAACTGGGATTTCATAAAGAGCTAAAGGCTTCAAAGAAGATTTATGTGGCATAATTAGAAGGTGGTTATCTTGCAAGAAATACAGTATCCTTTTGAATGGTAACACCTATGGCTTTTTTTCTTCTAAAAGGGATATCAAACAAGGTGGCCCTCTATCACCCACAATCTTCATCATAGCTTTTGATTATTTCTCTAGAATGCTTAACAAATTGCAGGTGTTGAATCCTAAAATTCAACTTTCTAATAAAGCTAGAATTAAGGTGCCGCACCTAGCTTATGGAGATGACATTATCTCTTCTAATGCTGAGAAATGGGTAAACAAAATCATTTCTTAGCTTATTTTCCTTTTCTTAGCTTATTTTCCTTACATTATTTTCCTTACATTGCCATGTGGTTCCTGTGGATGGCCAGGAACTCCTCTAAAAAGTTGGATGGAGTGTCGGTACATCAGGTGGTGGCTAATATACTCGCATAGGGGTGTAAACGAACCGAACACGAACGAACAATGCTCGTGTTCGTGTTCGGTTCGTTTGAAATATAATTTGTTTGAAATAGGCTCGTGTTCGAAATTGTTCGTGAAAGGTTTGTTCGTGTTCGGTTCGATTTGTTCGGAATTAGTTCGAATCGTTCGAATCGTTCGAAATGTTCGAAATGTTCGAAATATTCGAAATATTCGAAATGTTCGAAATGTTCGAAAATTTTCAAAAAATTTCAATTTTATTTCTATTTTTCAATTTGACCGTAATAAAAAAAAGAAATTTACATACATACCTTTAATATTCTTATGTTTTTACATAATTTTGACAGTTAGACCATTGAAACCTTTCATATCACATAAAAATGCCACCATTTTACCTTTTAAAAATTGAAATACATCTGCACAAAATATATAAGATTTAAGTGATATGTATGTAAATCTTCCTAAAAAAATCTCTAATTGATCTAGAATTGTCAAATTTAAATTATGTAATTCTCACAATACTGCATCACAGAAAGCTATTGCCATAATAATTAGAAGTATAAGTTTCCTAAAAAAAAATAATAAGTTACTTCAAGAAAAAAAATAGAGCACAAGACTATAAGAGAGTTTCAAGAATGACTAAAAATTGTTAATTTACTCCTCATATGGACACTTAAGTAGATATCAATATATACATAGAAAGAGATCTTAAATTATAACTGAAGTCGAACACAAAAGGATGAAAAATTAGATATATATATATATATATATATATATTTCCCTAACTATTCTTCCATGAACCTATCAATATCAATGAATCACACTAAATTCAAAATTTGTATACTACCAGTACATAATGAAATTTGGAGAGAAACTAACAACCATAAAACAGTTAACATAATCAAATTAAGTTTCCACAAGAACAGTAAGGATTAATCATAAATGTAAATTTTTATGACTTAATTCATATTTCTGAAAAATAAAGCACAAATAGAAAGAGTGAACATTTCAGATTTACTAAAAAGATACAAAATGTTGGAGAAAATAAACCCGAAAAGAAGAAGTTCGTAACTTTTGATTTCTTCTCCTCTTCATCCTCCTTAGTTTTTCACAAGTGCTCTCTTTCCAGCACCCCTACTTAAGTCACTCTCACACTCGCTAGTACACTAGAACACTTTCTTAATCTCTCCCCTCCCAAAATGTGACTCCATATCATAATTCCTGCTAGTCATTCTATAGCTTCCTCAACCAGCTCAGCAACTGCTTTAGAATTGAATCTTTCAAGTCGTCGCACCATAGCATTGCCTCATGTGGCAGCAAGGCAATGCATGTAGCGTTGCAACTCTAGGCTTTAGCATCGAGGCATTGAATTCTCTATGATTTAAGCTGATTTTTGCTCCTTATGGAGCTAAAGTGCTTCAAAAAATGTCATGGCTTGAAATTCATTTTTGCTTTTTTTTTTTTTTGGGCATTACTGAACCGTAAACTAGCTTGATGGCGTTGAGCTATCAGGTTTTTGAGCAATTTGTTCAAATGTCTAGAACCATAGTATTGATTAAATAGCGCCTGGACAACATCTTCATCTTTAGCTCCACAATGCCAGTTGATCAGCGCCCAAGCATACCCTTTATTTCTTTGGCTATTATCAATTATGAACAATATCACCTTGCTGCTTGATAGAACACTTAGGCACGATTTATATTCTTTAATTTTTACACATTTCTTCTCCTGTGAAATTCCTACCAAAAATGTCATAAATAGTGATAATAAATCATAAAATGATATATTTTTGCTTAAAAATTATATTTATTTCATTCAATTCAGTCAGCCGCATTCAGTCACCTTCGATGAATCAATTTATAAATTGGTCATACTGATTGCATCTAAAATTTGAAATCCAAAAACCAGACCAAAAAATCTATTGATAAAATTGAACTAACCGAACCAAAGTGTAATTTGATTTAAACGGGGCTTTAAAATTCTAGTTGTGAAATAGAAGTGCATTATGTCATTATTTCAAGAGTTGAGCTTGTAACTTTTTTTCATATATATTTTTGTTGTTTTGACTCTAAAATGCAATTCCAAAGGAGCATAGAACAATGATGAGGACAAACCAAGAGATTAAGCAAATATTTCATATGAACTTTTGAGTAGACACATGATCGAGCTATGTTAAAATAATCACAAAATCTAAATAAACCAAAAGATTGATGGAAGTGGCGAATT